TGGTGAAGTCATCTCCAAGGTTCACCGTTCAGCCTGGGAGTGGACAGCCCCATAAAACCAAATGGGACTAATGAGGGACAGCAGTCCAGGGACAAGGGCCAGAAGGCAGAAGGGGACGAGGAAGCTGGTGATAGGGAACCCAAGGTTGAGTAAGGATAGTGTTGATGTGTTGTGATGTTGTTAACCATTGTCATAGGGCAACACGTGTAGTAACTGTTCTGTAAGCCTTCATCTAAAGTGAGTATAGCAGCACAATTGGAAGAGCATAGTCGATGTCACTGAACTGCGCATGTAGAAATTTTTGAAATGGTGTATCTTTGGCTATGTATATTTTCACCAAAAAAAAAAAGGTCGAGAAGGGAGAGGGTTGACATGTTGTGGGGTTGTTAACCAATGTCATAAAACAATATGTGTACTACTGTTTCATGAGAAACTATTTGTCTGTAAGCCTTCACCTAAAGTACAATTAAAAAAAAAAAAGTTAAAAATTCTTCTTCATTTCCAATAGTATTTTTCAGTAACTATGCAAATTTACTAAAAATCATCAAACTTTACACATAACAAATGGATGAACTGTATAGTATGTAAATTATACCTTAGTAAAATTATAAAAAAATATAATTTTTTTTTTTTTTTTAACAAATAATCCAAATAAAGTGTTCTCAGACTGCTTTAAAAAGTTGGCTGCTATTAATGGCTACTAACAGTTTGTGACTCATAAAGGTATTAAAAAAAACGCATTGCCATGGAGTCGATTCCGACTCACAGTGAACTTACAGGACAGAGTAGAACTGCCCCATAGGGTTTCCAAAGAGCGGCTGGTGGATTCAAACTCTTAACCGTTGGGGCACCAGGGCTCCATAAAGGTACAGCTGCCTTGATTACCCAGGGAGGAATAATTAGGATTACCATAACCTTGTTATCCCTAGCAGTAATGGCTAGCCCCACATGCATAACAGGCACTCAGACATCTTTGACTGAGACATTGAAATTAAACTGAGGTAACATAACAGGATAGTAGTGGTGGGCAGCATAGCTCAAAAACCCTAGTGAGCAATGGTACTTTCCTTTTATTCCATCAACAAGTATATGCAAGATGAATCTCAGATCTATCCTATAATAAAGGAGCCCTGGTGGAGTAAACGGTTAAGCGCTTGGCTGCTAACAGTAAGGTTGGCGGTTGAACCCACCCAGCAGCTCCATGGGAGGCCTAGTGATCTACTTCCATAAAGATTACATTCAAGAAAACCCTATGGGGCAGTTCTACTCAGTCACATGGGGTCGCTATGAGTTGAAACTGACTCAATGGCACTTAACAATGATATACTATAATACCCATTCTCCTAAATCAAAGTGGTTATTCTAATGCCAATTACAAAACTGAAAAAGAAAAAGCCATTTAACCCACTGAATAGCCATGATTATTACTTACAAATTAAGTCCCATGCCAATTGCATCTGTAGCTACCAGGATTTTGCACGGATCATCAGGATCGTTAAACTTTTTTGCTTGAGCAAGTTTGGTCCCTAAAATAACAACAGGTATAATATAGTTTATGTTAAATCAGTGTTCTCAATCTTTTACTATACCACACTAAGCATATTTTGGAAACCCTCACCTCCTGCTCCTTCTCCTTTCATGGATAAAACTCTTCATGTTTCAAATTTATTTCTTTATATCCTCAACAGAGAAACATCCTTTACTTCCACCCCTTAAATACTTCCTTACGTAGCAGCTCAATCCCCCGCCACACTAGCCTTATCGTTTCTGAGAACACTTATTAACAGATCTCAGGACTAAAACTTGAAGGTTATCACCAAGTCCATATTTTAATGACCTTTCTGTAAGAAAATCATAAACTTAACATTTAAAATACAGTCTATTAATAGCAGCAAATAACAAGAGATATAATGAACTAAAAGACTTCTATTCCCACCAAATGAACTAAAGAAATTTTATATGACCTATAACAAATTACTCATCTATCAAGCAGCTTAATGCAATATTTTTTATTGTGTTGTCTATACACATCTTGACCCAAAACTCACTGCCACTGAGTTAATTCTGACTCATAGCGACCCTACAGGACAGAGTAGAACTGCCCCATAAGGTTTCCAAGGCTGTAATCTTTATGGAAGCAGATTGCCACATCTTTCTCCCTCAAAGCAGCTGGTGGGTTCGAACTGCCAACCTTTCAGCCAGTAGCCTTAACCAGGCGCCACCAGGGCTCCTCCACATATCTTGACATAAACTGCAAAAAGAAGAGATTTCAAAGCCTGTCATGATGAAAGTCAATAATTACCAGGTGGGAGGCTGCCGTATATAACAGCTGATTCCAATCCCCGAATCTCAATCTGTCGACTCACAGAATAAATATCATTCTTGCTAAAACAGACAATGCAGTCCCCAGGCCGAAGATTATCTAAAGATTCTAACGCATGATCCAGAACAGAAATGGGGGTAAGCCTGTTATAGTTTCGAACCTACAATAAAGACATGATATTGTAAAATAACACACCTAACTCAACTTTCTCTATTAAGTGAAAAACTTGCAAAGCAATCAAGAGTAGCCAAAACTGACAGATATGATATTTTTCAAGGAAAAACACAGAAAAGCATTTATTTTGAAATTACAAGTGTTATAATCAGTTTCGTGGGCATTTCTAAATTAATAAAACGTTATACAATGTTTCATAAATTTTCAAAGCAACTTCACATATATTTGATTTTCACGGTAACTTAGTAAATTCAAAAGGGTTGTTAAGTGTGATTTCTATCTTATGAAAGAATAAAATAGAGCCCAAGAAAAGGATTAGATTTGAGGCTTTCCCCACTTATAGCTTTCTGTGATCTGCCTAAGAATGAGAAGTTAAAATAACAGCAAAACCCAGAATCTCTTCTACTGTATCCTCTGTCTCACTCTCAAAGCTGTGCACAAAACTAATGGGCCAATTTAAAAATATTTCTTCATCTTACTGTAAAACCCTAGTAAAGAAAAAAAAAAAAAAAAAAAGGATTAAAAGGAAACCACTATTCCCTAATCTAAGGATTTCAGAAAGGGATACAAACTGTCCCCAGCAAATATATGTATATATATCTCAAAGGCCCTAATATCTGACATAAAGACTTTGAAAACTGCAAACTTTAACTTGTCATTTTGCTAGGCCTTAAACTTCCAACATTTCTGATTTAATTCAAAAGAGATCTGCATAAACCCCAAAAGGTTTTGTCAAGAGAAGATGAAGACTCTCCTGTACTCTTGGAAGACCAAGGATGTGATGGCCACTTCGTAAGAACTTTAGAACACAAGGTTCAACTAAATACACGTGATCTACTCAACCATAAGGAAATGAAGCCTTCTTTTTAGTTAAATTTTACTACTCTCTGGGGCCTATGAAGCCACTGCCTTGGTCCTCTGGGCTATTTGATATGCTACCTTGAGAACAAAGCATATAATCTAGTACCTCTACTTCCTCCCCAGTTGAGTACATGAGCTCAGTCACCAGGTCAATAGCAGCAGATTCTCCACACAAATGGACTTCTTCAGCACAGAGTCCTATAAATGAAAAATTGATTTTTTTTTAAGGATATCAAAATTAAATATGCAATGCTTTACACAGCAAAAACACTTTACAATTGATTATCTATTGCTTTACAACTTTACCAAGTGTTCTCACAAATATTATTTCTTTGGTTCAAACCTCAGAACAACAGACTTCTGGAGGACAACGATTATTCCCATTTTTATAAATCTCAGGGATTTGAAATTACTTTGGCCAAGGTTTTGAGCCTATTACAAGGTGAAGCCAGCCAGGATTAAAACCTGGCATTTTAATGCTTAGTACTGAACATTAATCCTATACTTGTGTTTTTCAAATTAGACTCCATGGAATCACTGAGGTGCCTCAGAGGTCGGGGGCTGGAGGGTGGAATGAACTCCAAGCTCCTTAGCCCTGAGCAGATCCACCCTCATCTATTTTACATAACAGGCTTCAATGTATACTCTGAAGAAAGAGTTCAGCTATTTGTTTTCACATTTGAAAACAACTGTCCTACAACATGCTGATCAAAAATTCCCTCCAATATCAAGCAGAAAAAACGTTCATTCTGTCCGTGGACCTCAAGAACTCTAGTTCTAGGAGACTATCTTAAATAAATAAATAAATAAATAAAAAACAAAAAGCTATGGCCACAAAGGAGTTTACTGCAGCATTATTAATAACGGGAAAATGTTCACCAATATGGTAACAAATTATGGTGTAGCTCTTCAAAAGAGAATAACTCAAGCATATATAAAAATGTATTAAAAAAGTCTATGAAACAACTTCAAAAAAAGCAAGATACAAAATTATATGTTCACAAAATAACATATGCATAAGAAAAAAACTGGCCTGAAATATGCTAAAATATTACTAGTGGTTATGTAAAAATGGTGAGATTTGAAAACTAATTTTAATTACAAGATTATGCTAATTTTATGACAGGAAGAATGAATTTCCCATCATTAAAGTAATATTTAGAGAACACAAACTCACACCTGAGCAGTTAGGGCTGTTCTGTTTGACCTGTGTCAGAAAGAGAGGATCTAGCCAGCTTTACCCATTATCAGGCAGATAAATGCATCTCAGTGCACACTTCGCCACCCAGGTTTTAGCATTAAGAACACCAACCTAGAAGTGCTCTGGTCCAGGCCCATCCTCTAGCTGGATCTTTAATCATTTGAATTTCATCAATCACAGCCACTTCATCTTAAAATAAAGAAGTTATCATGAGCAATACAACCTACTTAAGCAATATTATAAATAAATTACAACACTAAAACTCAACCTTTCATCACCACCCCCATCATCATCACTGTAGCAGCAGCTAACACTTGCAGGCTGCTTCTTACAGGCTTGTTCTAAGTGCTTTACAATGTTACTCATTTAATTCTCACAACAAACCTATGAGGTAGATATTACCATTAGTTCCATTTTACAGAAGAGTAAACTGAGGCCCAGAGAAGTTAAGTCACTTGCCCAAGGTTACACAGTTAAGTGTAGGGAAGAAATTCAAATCCGGGCTATTTAGCTCCAAACTCCATACTCTTTTATTTTATTTTTTTATTGTTGTGCTTTAAGTGAAAGTTTACAGTTCAAGTTAGTCTCTCATACAAAAATCTATACATACATTGTTATGTGACCCTAGTTGCTTTCCCTATACTGTGACAGCACACTCCTCTTTTCCACCCCAGATTTCCTGTGTCCATTCAACCAGCTCCTGTCCCTCTCTGCCTTCTCATCTCGCCTCTGGACAGGAGCTGCCCATTTAGTCTCATGTATCTACTTGAGCTAAGCAGCACACTCTTCACAAGTATCATTTTATGTCCCATAGTCTAATCTAATCTTTGTCTGAAGAGCTGGCCTCGGGCAAATTCCGTATTCTTAACCACTACATGCACTAACTCCAAAATTGAGCAGGTTCATCTGTCTTACTTTCTGCAATTTCAGAGGCAGTCCTAGAGAATCTCCCAAACAAGAACTAACATACCTGCTAAGTGGAAAAAGAAAGCAATTATCTATGCTTCCAGGAATAAGTAGATAGCCCTGCAGTAAATGAAGCATCTCTACCACAGAAATCAGATGGTTCTCAGGAGCAGGAAGTGAATTGGAGTGTGTAATTACTTGGGCTCCAGATATGCTCATTCTTAGTGGTTTTAAGCTCATCGCTATGGCAAAAATTGGGGCCCCCTCTTACTTTCTAATGCCAACGTGCATTAGAAAACCATATTATTTTATTCTCCATAAGTCAATACAAATTATTTTCTTCCCTAAATACCAAGGAATTAAGAAGAGAAAACTTAAAAAAAAAAAAAAAACCTTTATGTACCTTCAAAGACAGAAAACTAACTTTATACTAAAAAAAATCAGATTAAAAATTACTTATTATATGTGGTTACATAACAGTTTAGGAAAAAAAGCGTTTGAAAATGGGACAGAAGAGAGAATCCTGATTTATAAACTCCTGGGCTATTTGAATTTTTACAATTTTATATTACATTTTACAAATTTACACTATTTTATAATAAACTGATTTAAAAAAAAATCAATTTACTCAGAAAGTTAAACTATTAAAATTTTAAAAAGCAAGCTACCAAATAGTACATAGTGTATAATCCCAATTTTACTTAATATACACACTCACAATGCACATGAGTGTATACATACACAATATGAACACAAACAGAGAAAGAGTCTGGAAAATATACACGACTAGGGTTATTACTAAGGAGTCCTGGTGGCGCAATGGTTAAGTGCTCGACCGCTAACTGAAAGGTCGGCGGTTCGAAACCGCCAGTGGCTCCATGGGAGAAAGATGTAGCAGTCTGCTTCCATAAAGATTTACAGCCTTGGAAACCCTATGGGGGCACTATGAGTCAGAATCAACTCAATGGCAGTGGGTTTTTTTTTTTTTTGGTTATAATGACGATATGATTGTTTATATAATTTAAGAAAGTTAATTTTTATTTAAATGTTTTCAAAGTACTTAAATAGAAGCTCATTACAGCACTGCATATAATAGCAAAAAATTTAAACAATCTGATGTTGTTAGGTGCCGTCAAACCAAATCTGACTCAGAGCGACCACAAGTGACTGAGTAGAACTGCCTTATAGGGTCTTCTAGGCTATAATCTTTATGAGAGCACATCACCAGCTCTTTCCCCAACAGAGCCGCTGGGTGGGTTCGAATCGCCAACCTTTAGGTTAGTAGCCAAGCACTTAACCAATGTGCCACAAGGGCTCCTTTTGAACAACCTACTAAGATGGAATACTAAGTAAGAGTTTCAATTAACAAACTTGATCAATACGTATCAGTAAGACTAGGTCTAAAAGCACACTGTATGCAGTAAAAAAATCAAGTTGCAGAACCATACCTACAGTATGATAATCATGCTAATGTATCAAAAGATAATATATATCAGTGACTTAAAAAATAGGAAAGATATATACCAAATACTTGATAACCAGTTGGCTTAAAAGACAAGAGAAGAACTGAACTGAGGAGTGGTACAAAGGAAACTTGAACTGTATTTGTCAGTGTTTTAGTTCTTTTAGAAGAAAAAGGGAAAGAACATTCAGAAGCCAACATGGCAGAGTGTTAAACATTTACTAGTGGTGGAAGGCTGTTATGGATTAAATTATGTTCCCCACCAAAATATGTTTTAGAATCCTAACCCCTATACCTATGGATGTAATCCTGTTTGGAAATAGGGTTCTTTGTTATGCTAATGTTACAAACTGAATTGTGTCCCCCAAAAATGTGTGTCAACTTGGCTAGGCCATGATACCCAGTATCAAGTGACTGTCCGCCATTTTGTGATTTCATGGGATTATCCTATGCATTATAAATCCTAACCTTTACGATGTTAATAAGGCAGGATTAGAGGCTATTATGTTAATGAGGCAGGACTCAATCTTGAGTCAATCTCTTTTGAGATATAAAAGACAGAAGCAAACAGACAGGAGAGGGCCTCATTACCACCAAGCAAGAACAGCCAGGAGAGGAACACATCCTTTGGACCCAGGGTCCCTGCGCTGAAGCTCCTAGACCAGGGGAAGATTGATGACAAGGACCTTTCCCCAGAGCCAACAGAGAGATAAAGCCTCCCCCTGGAGCTAGCACCCTGAATTCAGACTTCTAGCCTCCTAGACTGTGAGAGAATAAATTTCTATTTGTTAAAGCCATCCACTTGTGGTATTTCTGTTACAGCAACACTCGATAACTAAGACAGTTCATTAGACTATACCCAAGTAGGGTGGGTTCTAAATCTGATCACTTCTGACTTATAAAAAGAGCAGATTAGACACATGCACATACATACATGGAGAAAGACAGATGCCATGTGAGAGATCCCCAAGGAATGCCTGGGGCTACAGACAAAAAAGAAATCAACAGGGCCAAGACCCTTACACTTGGACTTTCAGCCCCTAGAATTGTGAAAAAATAAATCTCTCTTCTTTAAAGCCACCCAGTTGTGGTATCTGCATTACAGCAGCACTAGGTAACTAAGACATAGGTACTGGGTGTTTGTTGTACTGTTCTCTTCCTCTTCTCAATTTTTAAATTTTTTTCATAATAAAAAATGTATTTCATAGAGATGTACTTTAAAATCAAAAAACAGTAAACCATAAAGTTTTTACAATGGCATATACATACAAGGAGTTGTAACACTGCACATCTCAACAGTACAAGCAACATGGGCAGCCTGTTTCCCATCTGGCTCTACTGTCACGCGCTCTTCGCCTGTTACCAAGTCACATGGCACCCCCTAGGATAACAAAGGGAAACCTAGAATTATTTTTACCTTGAAAAAAACAGCAAAAAGAAATTTGAATGTTTAAGAAAGAATTCTCTCCATTACTATATTTATTTGTTTAACAACTGAAACAAAATACACCCCACGCTTTTTTCTTTTTTCTAAAAACGTAAAAGACCACTCTCTTATATAACCTAGATATATTTGGGAACATCTCAAATGAGCCAAATCCTCAACTAACAACAACAAAAAAACATGAGAAATTACAGCAGTTTCATTTTTTAACTTTGTACATTTCTGCATTTTCTAAATTTATAAAAATGAACATGAATTATTTCTATAATCAAAAAGACCATTATAAATAAAATATAAGAATGTAAAAGCCTCCTTATATAACGCCGTGGGAGCCCTGGTGGCACAGTGCTTAAGGGCTTGGCTGCTAACAAAAGGTCAGCAGTTCGAATCCATCAGCTGCTCCTTGGAAACCCTATGGGGCAGTTCTACTCTGTCCTATAGGGTCTCTATGAGTCAGAATCGACTCAATGGCAACAGGTTTTTTTGGTTTTATAATGCCCTGAGGACTAATGTCAATGCTGTGGTGCATTTAGGGTAACCAACCATCCTGGTTTACACAGGACTAAGAGATTCCCTAAGATGCAGAATTTTTGGTGCTAAATCCAGGAAAGTTCCAAGCAAAATGGGATAGCTGGTCACCCTAGTGGCCTAAATTTAATTATGAGAAAACAGCAAACATATCCTAACTGAGGGACAATTTACAACACAACTGACCAGCAGTCTTCCAAAATGTCAAGGTTATAGAAGACAATGGAAGACTAAGGAACTGACCCAGATTAATGGAAACTAGAGACATAACAACTAAATACAATGTGGGACCCTAGACGGAATCCTGAACCAGGAGAAAAAAAAAAAGGGATGTTACTGAATGATTGGCAAAAACTGAATAGGGACTATGGATTAAATAATGTTATTCTATCAGTATTAAATTTTCTATTTTTCATAAATATCCTGTGGCTATGTAAAAGAAAGGCTTTGTTCTTAGGAAATACATTTGTAAGTATTTATGGAAATTTTGGCATTAAATATACAAATTACTCAAATTATTCAGAAAAAAGTAGAGAGTGAGAGAGTGTACAAATTATCCACCAAAACAAGTTAATCTAACTCACACTGTAAAGTTATAAAAAAACAATGAACCAAAATGTGGTCCATTTAGTGAAATGGTGCCTCAGATTACAGGCCATTTCATCCTTTTCAGTTTTGAAAGAGTGGCATCAGTCTTTAATTACTTCAGACAGTATCAGAGGTCTAATCTTTAAAAAAGTAAATTAAACACCCTAACAGGGTAGTGGTTAACTTTGAGTAGGCAAAAAAAGGGGTCTAGAGGGAGTTTCACCTATACTGATAATATTTCATTTCTTAATAAAGTCAATGAAGTAAATATCGCAAAATGTTAGGATTTGATGGAGTTGGGTAGTGGGGACAAGGTTACTGTGTTACTCTTTGCACTTATCTGTATGTGTGAAATATTTTGTATTTCCTTCATCCTAATGTACACATTTTTTCACATGCTAACATCTCTGAAATCAGAACTCAACTTAAGAATTGGGCATGTCAGAGCTCGGTTGGCAGTATCTTTTCCTTTCTTAGCTGCACATAAAATAAGGGTACTTCTTACAATTGATGGCTTCTTAGGTTTGATGAAATACAGTAATTTTTTGTTCACAGTAAACTACTAAATATGACTTCTCCCCCACTCCCACCTTCACTCCATCCCCAAAAAATATTACAAGAAGAAAGATGGGACACTGAGTAATATACTGACAGCAGTATTACTCTTTTCGAAGATCTCATGTGCCAGCAATTTTAAAGGACCACAATACACTCCAGATTTTGCTGACAAGTATTTCTGGATTGCATGATAAGTCTTCCCGCTGTTTGTGGGTCCCGAATGGAAGATTATCTTCCGCCGTATGGCTCTGGCTTCCGGGTACCTAAAACATAAGCAGAAAAACAGCTTAGTTCCACTAACCTCGAATCCACTCTGGCAAAGATGTCAACTGAAAAAAGTTCCAAACGAAACCACCTCTTAACATTCACAAGACAGCTTCTTCGAAAAACTAAACAACAGGTTTCATATTCACATTAAAATGACTGATTTCCAAAAATGGCAGCTATTAACTGTCCTCTAGACAGAAAAACTCAAATGCAAATTAATTCCTTGGACATTTTTCCCACTTTAAAAATCACTTCATCGCAGAAGTTCTTTAAAATAAGTTTAAACTGCTATCAGCAACATAAACAGGTTTACATCATTCCCACAGCGCTAAGTAAATACTCACAGGCTTCTGAACTTTAGGGTAAATATACTGTCTAAGGCTTCTGCTTCTGGCCGTGATGAATAACTGGTACTGAACTTGCCCTCCCCACCATAAACAAGTACAAAACCGGGCAAAGTATATGTGGCAACAGTTTGGGGGCATAACAACCGGCAGTACAGGACTACAATCCCTTAAAGAAGGAAGACTTGCGGAGAGCTCTACTTCACCCAGGAGGGTACAGGAGATGGAATCCAAAGAGAATGGCACAGACCTGCTGAGCTGAGGAGACAGAGGTCAAGTTCAGAGGTGCAGAAGCAGCTGGGATTTGAAGGGCAGAGTGTGGAAGAAAAGAAAAGGTACAGGGAGGGAGAGCTCTAAAGTCTGTGGCGGGGGTTCCATGTGGCCCTGGGCTGGGCTAACGTGTGCAGGTGAGACGTGGAGAGGCCTAGCAGAGAGCAGCTTGCTAAGGGACTGAGAGTGGAAAGTCTCGAAGAGGTCACAAGGTGCTAAGAGATGTGGGAGTTCCAGCCAGCTGAGACACCAGAGAGGCCACACCTCAGAAGTAAGGACAACAGTCTAACTCAAGTGCTGCTCTAGATCTACCCCAATAAAGGCTAAAACCAGGCCTGACCAGGGTCAAGGGGAGCCACCAGTTAACTGCCGGCCAGAATTAACTGCCAGCTTTTCTCAGGCAAACATAAGCCAGACTCCTTACAATCTATTACCCAGCATACAATACAAAATGATCTCCCAAGACAAGAAACCAAATATCTCAAATCCACAAATGAAGAAACTAACCAGTTTGGTGGAATTCTTAAGTCACTGATTTTACGTAGATCATCCTTACATTCCAACACAGGAAATATCTGTTTTGCATGTCTCAAGAAAAATGGAAACAAATCATCCACATGAGCTGGAAAATAAAACAGTGTTAACATGTGCAGTCTACATGTTACCCATAACGGAAGTTAGCGAAACCTTTTCCTTAGTGAGCTAAGTGAGGGTGACATTGTCAGGATAAAAAGAACAGTCCTGGAGGAGGCAGCCCTATCCTTTTCAGGGGTCCTGCTCTGTCTTAAGTTTTCCCCCTAATTTCACTTATATTTTCCAAGAACACAGAAAACTGGCTGCCAACTGCCTATTCTACTTCTCTATGGCAAAGAGAGAAAAATCAGCATAGGTAAAAGGTTAAGTTAAAAATACAAAACCTGGAAATACACATTAGAAAGAAGGCTTGTGGTTACATGAAGAGAAAGGCAGATATAAATGTTTTTTAACATTTTTAACCATTTTAAAACATTTAATGTTTTTGAACATTTTTTGTGATTTTACAAAGATCACAGAGACACAAATATGGAACTAAATGAATTCCTCAGCAAGAATTCTCTACATCATAATGGCTCTGAGTCAAGGGCAAGGCCATGACCCATTCTGCTTTGTACCCAAGCTCTGCCTTAGCACCAGGCAGGGTAAAAGCCTAATAGTCAAATATATTTTAAAAATATAACCAAAGTCAAACTGCCTATGGGAATAAATGATAATGTTCTTACTTTTTTTTTTTTTTCCTTCTCTTATAGCAAGAGCTTTGCCCTGATATGAGGGAGAAATATGAGGCAAAAACAGATCGAATCTGCTATATGCTAATTCTATGTGGTGTGACAGATCATTTCTCTGTGGTCTGTATTAATACACAGTGGAGAACAGATGATGGTAGATCAAGGCCCCAGTCTTTCTCAAATCTAGGACATATGGGTGATTTAATAACCAGCTCAGAGACCCGCTATAAAAAGCAGAAGGGCAAAGATGAGAAGTCAGAAAGGGCTAGAAAATCAAGACGAAAGGAAACGGGGGAACCTAGGGTGGAAATGGAGAGGGTGCAGACACATTGTGGAGAATAAGTCAAGGCCATGAAACACTTTATGTGCAAACTATCAAATGAGAATCTAATTTGCTCTGTAAACTTTCACCTAATGCATAATTTTTAAAAATTCAAAAATACCAACAAAAAAGCAAAAGGACCTAGAAGGCCTCCTATCAAAGTACTGAATGATTTACAGAGGATGTTACTTAGACCTATTCTAAAACAAATAAGCCCTGCCTAGAGAAGTAAATGGGAAGGAGCCCTGATAGCACAGTGGTTAAGAGCTCAGCTGCTAACCAAAAGGTCGGCAGTTCAAATCCACCAGCTGCTCCTTGGAAACGCTATGGGGCAGGTCTACTCTGTCCTATAGAGTTGTTATGAGTCGGATTGGCGGCAATGGGTTTGGTTTTCAGTTTAGAGAAATAAACAGGAAGCAAAAAATAAAGGAGGTTCAACAGGATTTTAAAAAAAAACAAACTCTACACACTTGCCTGCACTGAAACAAATATCATTCAAAACAATGTGAATGTCCACATCCAGGGAATAAGACTGCAGAATGTAATTCCGAAAGCTTATGAAAGCTTGGTGGAAGAGGCGAGCTGTGGAAACACAAAATCAAAATAGGCAGAGCTTAGTTTTCATTTAAAAAAGAAAACGGACACATACACACTAAGCAAACCATCAAAAGTGTCATTTTAAAATTATTTTTATAAGAAACTTGAAAGCTTTATTTCTTTGTACTGAAGTAAATGTTATCTGTTAGAAAGAGGCGAGATAACTAGCAGAAATACTTTTAAATATATATTTTTAGATACATTCAGCTTAAAGGGACGACATTTTATCAGAAATGTACCTTAATGATATGTCTTTAGTTTTTCCACAGATTAGAAAATAGTCAGGAACACTAAAATCCCATTTTCTAACATAAAACTTCTGACAGGCAGTTTCAGAGTCTTCATAGCTTCAAATTCACTAATACTGGGAATTAGTGAATGCTTGAATAGTTCATCATTATTCAAATGACATAAGGATTCTTCCCGCAACAAATTACTGAGGTGGACTGACAGTTTCCACTTTTTGTCTATCCACTCCCAGATCTATGCAGATTCTGGCAAGGAGGACTCTCCCTTTGCCATGTAGTCTGGCTCAGAAGGTCAGTCTTGCCAGCATCCTTCCAAGCCAGAAGCAAAGGTCAGGGACATGTCTCCAGATCACAACTCTATACTTCTTTCCAGGCCACACAGGGTCCCACACAACACTGACAAAGATGTACTCTAAGAAGTAATAAAAGATTACTTACCATCAAGTCCATAATCAGCACCCAGTTTCTGAATTTCCTTCCTCTTGTAAAACTTGTCTAAGATCTTTTTTACTTCATCTGGAAGAAAGACACCAAAAGTTAACACTTGTTTCCTGTCTCAGATAGAGAAGTGCCCAAAAGGCAAAAGAAACCTCAAGTTGTAACGCTCAAGGCAGTAATCTACTGAGTGCTGCAAATACTTGAAGGTTTTCGTTGATCACGAGCTCCTCATGGGTTAATAGTATGAGAAGTGTCTATGTCACATAATGCAATATTCCTGTAAAACTGGGGAGGAATGAGCAAGGTGATACAGGATCAGAGGGAGTAGCCCCTAACCTCCACCACTTTTAGATAACCATGTTCTGTTTAATTTACTTACTATTCTGGACATCAAACAGAGAGCAGCTAAAATGCATCCAGAAAGATAACCAATACAGCCAGGACCAGAACATCAAGTTTTATGCAAATAATTAAAGGAGCAAGTAATGATCTTTAGTTTGAAGATGATAGCAGGGAGAACAGATTATACTTATTTTGTTCTAGAGGACACAACTAAAGTCAGTGGGAGGTGAGGAAAGCAGATTTCAGTGGAATCCACAGAACTTCCTAACTTCCTAGGACAGTGAAAAAGGGTTGCCTTGCGTTATGAGCTCTTTGTCGCAGGACGTACTCAAGCAAGGGTTAGATGGCTGTACTTCAGAAGCGACGTCAGAGAAACTTCTGTGCTGTAGGGAAAGTTGAACTAGATGCCTGGTGAGGTAACATGTCACTACGAATCAAAATTTTTATAGGTGAAGTAGTTTAAATTCATCAACCTGAGACTGCATTAATGCTGTACATGCTAAAATAAGACAACTGTCTTATTCTGTAGAGATGAACACTTAACTGATCCATTCATACTTGCATTTCTGGGAAGGCAGGGCAAAACTGAGGATGTAGTCTTTGCCCATGAAACACAGTGGCCTGTATTTTTACCTCCCACAAAAGCACCGGCCATATTTTCACACAGCCACACATGCACAACACTCACTGAAGAAATGAAGCCTGAACAAAGCTTCCCACTAACAAAACTTTGTTTTGTACAATGAGGATATTTCCAAATCACTGATTTAGCCACTACATCTGCCCACAAGTAAATGTGACATATACATATATATATGTTTAGAAACCCTATGTGGGCATATATGTATACCTCCAATCATGGGCTGCTTGGGAAAATTCTGCTGACCTATAAATTCAATACAGAAAACAGATCCCATGTATTTAAATTAACTCATTTTCAGTGACTAACACTCCAGTGTCATGTAAGAATCATGCTACTTTATTCAGTTTAAAAATGTGAGGTTTCTCATTATGCTAAGTGAAAGAAAACAGTCTCAGAAGACCACCTATTGGAAACTATTTATATGAAATGTCCAGAATAGGTAAATCTATAGAGACAAAAAGTAGATTAGTGATTGCCTAGGGCTGGGGAGAGAAGGGAGTGGGGAGTAACTGCCAATGGGTACAGAGTTTCTTTCTGGGGTAATGAAAATGTTCTAAAATTAGATTATGATGATAGCTGCACACCCTGAAAATATACTAAAAATCATTGAATTATACTCTTGAAATGGGTGAACTTTATGGTATGTAAATTATAACTCAATAAAGCTGTTTTAAAAAATTGAATATTACCCACAAAAAAGTGAGGTTTCTCTGTATCAGGACTTTATCTAAAAACATTTTCCAAAGTCCATTAATCAATTTTTAAAAAATAATTGTGAAAATATTATCACAATCGAAATAGCACTGAAAAAGAATTTTTTTAAACTACTACAGAAGTATATAAAAACTTAGTTTTTTTTTTTTTAAAAAATAAAGCTTTTATTGTTTCATTGTTCCTAACAGAATGACCCAAATTTTGGTCATAATTACTTCTCATTAAAATTAACAAGTGATTAAAGCAGACACCCTGGATTTCAGCCAGCATTGTCAAAATGAGGCAGGTCCCGGGGTTGCGCAAAACAGTTAAGTGCTTGACTACTAGCCAGAAGATTGGTGATCTGAACCCACCCAGGAGCGCCTTGGAAGACAGGCTTGGAGATCTGCTTCTGAAAGGTCACAGCCTTGAAAACCTTATGGAGCAGTTCTATGTACTCTGCACACATGGGATCACCACGAGTCAGAGTTCAGTTGTCGGCAACTAACAATAGCAACAAGAACAGAAATGAGGCAGTCACTACAACTTTTAACTAGGTAATAGCTTTCTTCCTGCTGCCTTTAGTGGGAGCCTGGGATTTAATGCAGCTATGTTGAGACTCAACTACATATGCTGGAATTAAGAGGCTAGAGAGCTCGGTATAAACTCTGAGTTAACTGCATTGTTAAATGATGTAAATGATTACATCTTCTTTGGAAGAGAAGACAAAATGTTAAAAAAGACAGCCCATCAAGATACTTTCTCTTCTAAAATGTAAATGTGCCTCATGTGAGTCTTTACACAAAATAATTACCACTTTACTCACTCCATTTACATCCTGACAAAGTCGCTATTCCTGCAGGCTTCTGACTTGTTAAACCTTGCGATTTACCCACATGGTTAAAGTGTTTCCATTCGCTTGTTTCACTGTAGTCACCAGTAAGTAACTAAAAGTTCACCCAAAATACACCAAAGCTACATGTTCACTTGAGGGATGGATGGGTGGATGGGAAGCCACGCAACTCAAAGTATTCATAGCTGAATAGGAAAGACGACTCCACAGTGGAAAGTTAGATGGAGTGAAGTTATTAGAACAGGTTGATAAAACCTAGGATCCAAAAAGGAAAGGCAGAGGGGTCATGTCGTCAGTTACCATCAAGTAGACTCCAACTCACAGAGACCCCGTGTGTGTATGCTCCACAGGGTTTTCAAGGCTGTGACCTTTCAGAAGCAGATCGTCAGGCCTGTCTTCCCAGGCACCTCTAACCTACTGTCGTCAAGTTGATTCCGACCCAAGGTGACCCTCTAGGATGGAGCAGAACTGCCCTACATGGTTTCCAAGGCTGTAATCTTTATGGATGCAGACTGCCACATCTTTCTCCCATGAAGCAGCTGATGGGTTTGAACCAACGACCTTTCAGTTAGCAGCCGAGAGCTTAACCATTGCACTCCAGGGTTCCTTGAGGCGCCTCTGGTGGGTTCAAACCGCCAACGTTTTGGCTAGTAGTTGGGCATTTAACCATGTGCACCGCCCAGGGACTCCGGAAGAGTCATACAAGACCACAATCAATCCTGAAGAGATTGTATCAAAACTACCAAATAATGACACTTAGTTCCTACCCCTTTAATATTACTTCCTAGTATTACTTCCCCTGCCTGTGAATATGAAGAGGTACTGGGATACTGTGGTAAGGAACTTGTATTAAACCTTTCGTATCATCACAAAAGGGAATTATGAAATGCGGTGCAAGATTTGCTAACACCGTCACTACTGCACCAGGCAGCTGTGTCTCAGACCAAATGCCTGTGGCTTTTCTGCAGTTCTTTCAGGTAATGGATGCAACAGCAGCACTAAAACTGAGGAGTCTCAGCTGTTCCCTTTATCCCCACATGGGTCTGTGCCAGATATACCTAGATCAAATTACACTAATTGCTTAAGCCTCTGCTCTTTTACAAGGTTCTTCTTGCAACCAACAGCATGACGTCCATTCACGCAGCTAGAGGTGCTGAAGGGTAGTCTCTCTGGTGGGAAAAGTGTCATCAAATAGCCTGAACAGGGACTGATGCCATTATCATGACCCTTTAGCACTACACCCTAATTCTGTACTTCCTAAATGGCACGTCAGAACATATCAGTCCAGGTGTTCTGAGAAGAAAGTGTCCCCAAAACTGTGACTCCCATGCATTCTACTAATGGGGAGGTGAGTGGCTTCCACTCCGCTGCCACAGCCCTACCAATTCAAGTCCCAGTCTGCATCTACCCATCCACTGCTACTAGAACCTACTAGGAAACCACCCCCACCTGCCTCAATTTATCCGAGACTTTGCCTGGGAGTCACGACTGCTAAAAACAATCCACCCATAAGTGTTATTTGTGGCTGCCACCCTCCTGTGAACATGAAGTGAACCCAGAAGTCAGGAGGCGAGCATACTCTGGAAGTGCACCTGTCACCTGAAGACAGCCAGGGATGACTCAGCTCATCGGGGTGCCTGGGTGCTGCCTTCCTCCTTCACTGCTCCACATGAAGTCTTAGTCAACTTTCCCAGAAAAAGGAGGGACACTCCTCCACCAAAGCTAGACGTACTTCATGTCTAGAACTTCCAAACACTTAAAAATTCATGCCAGTGCCCAAAACACTGCTCTAGTGGAGCCAAACAATTATGAGTAGAAATATACCTAAGGAATTTTACACCAGCTATTAACAGCCTGAAGGAAGAGAGAGGCTTAGACGAAATGCTTGATTTGCACAATAACTTAAAAAGACCTGTTTAATAGGTTCCTCATATCAACCTACTACACAGGTAAGGCAGATTATCTGGGCCCCTGTGGGAACAGTTTTTCTACTTTCCACACATCACAGATTCTATCACAGGGTAACAACCCAGCAACCCCACACTCTTATTTTTCAAATACCGAGTGTTAGTACAACTAGTTTACATTTGTTCATCCCTTTACAGTTCTCAAAGTGCTTTGCCAAATATCTTATGGAGACTTTCACAATAACCCAGTGAGGAGGCAGAGAAAATATTATTCTCACTTCACCAACTAGGATATTTTACCAATGGAGAAAAGGCAACTGAATGAAAACTAGGCCGGTCACTTCAGTGCTGTATGCCTATGCAAAATATGCACTGTCTTTCCAGTTGTAGTCTATCTACATCCACATGGCAAAATGTGTTACAATCAACCAGAATATACACACAAATAACACCTACTATGTGTCTAGAACAGTGCCTGGCACAGAGTAGACAATAAGTATTTGTTGAACGGCAGTGAACAAGATAGAGCAGTGAACAAGACACTCATGGCCATGTCCTCCTGAAGCCCCCGTGGACTCTGGTGTATGACTATGTCCACTGATCAAGCACTCATGAATGTGATGAGGGTTACTGCGGGGGA